GGGGTAGAGGTCGGCGAAAGGAAGGGGGCCAAATGCTATTGGTGGGCGGGGCACGCACCGAAGTAGGCGGAGTTTGCCACGAGATTTATTGTCCGGAAGCAGTCCGGAGACCGAGAAAAAGAGGATAATGGTTGACGAAGAAAAAGAGGTTGAAAGCCGTCGATGATGGAGCGGATAGAATTTAGCTGAGAATTCAGATATTCGTGGTGTATCAAGCCAAATTTGAAAATTTTCGTCGCACCATCAAAATTCGCCGCAGATCTGTGTTGCGCGCGCAATGCGTGCGGCGCCAACTGGTGAAGAATAAACCAATTAGAAGTGGGAAACCCGAGAAATGGGACCCCTTCCTTGCCCGTTGATTTGCGCATTGATGCGACTCTCATCGCTGTGCCCTCTTCAACACTACGCTCTCTCTGCTATCTAATCACTCGCCACGTATAGACCTGCGGCGAGTGATTAGATAGTCGGTGGGCGTACCCCGCCAACCGCGCCAAGAGTGAGCCATGCTAGATCGCCGAGGTCAAATCTTTCGCTGCCAATTGCGCGTCGGTCAGCACCCTCAGGAGGTCCGCCTGTCTCCCAACTATGCAATTTTTCCCTTCTTTGACCTTCGTTCTCATCGTGAATTCCTCCTTTAATCTCCCTGCACAGAAGGCAGATTTCCCTTTTTTAACCATCAAATTTGTCATACTCCATACCCTTAAGGGTGGCATGCACAATGGATGATCACTCAGGTACCCTTCCACAGTTCTGCTTCCCCTAGTTGTAACATACATGCATGTGATGTAATACGTATGGCTGTCGTGGCATATTTATATGTGTTATTTAAAGTAGTGCTGAACCAGATACGGTTGGATTCTCACCTTCATGAGGTATATTTGGATTAAAATGAGTGTAAAATCCGTTCTGTCGGAACCATTTGTCGTTAAATTTCCATTCGGCTTTCCGTTGCGCATGAGTAAAATTCGCCAAATACACTTGATCTCCTCTCACTATCGCTGCATTGGCGGTGAACACGAGATCCGGTACATCTTTGGCGCCCTAAAGAGACAGTGTGTCGGTCCATCCGTTTGCCAAATTCCCTATATGTGAGACGGGGAGAGTGTCATACGCTCCCACGAAATCAATACGCATGACAGGGACGCAGAGACGCTCAATGCGACCAATGCATGACGTGCAGAGAAAGGGGAAAGTGCATGGGGATTGAAGAGACGCAGATAGACGGCGACTAAAATGTACTCAGGGGTACATTTTAGTCGCCCTCTACATGACCCTCTGCGTCTCTGCAATCTCCACGCACTTTCCCCTTTCTCTGCCGGGTTCGCCGTCCTAGGCAAGGTGCCACCTATACGTTGGCCACTTAACATGTGGCCTAGACCTCGCCCTCTGCGGCAGGTCAGCGCGAGTTTCCCGCCTTTCCCAATGCTTTTTAGGTGCGGACGAAGGCGAGGTCAACGTGACCTAGTGGCCTGACTGGCCGTTTAGGAGCTTCTACTACCGTTCCAGTGTTTGCTATGTTTTGAATCCGTTGGGGCCTCCGTATAGAGGCTCCCCAACGACATCAGCGCTCAAGCTTATTTGAGACCCCAAGAACGACAAGATCTGAGCAAGTAGGAGCCCTGTTGAGGAATCTCTGGCCATAGTTCGTCATGACGGCTTATGATGGTCAATTCGGGTACGAGGCAGTTTTTTGTCGATTTCCACCCCCTCCGACCACTTTGGCGCCATTTGCGAAAGGCTGACGGATTTTGGACTCATGAAAAGGATGCCTAGGTCAAATAGGTTTCGATCCTGGATTGTAATTCAGCCTACCTACGCGATAGCTACTAATCTTTAAAAATGCAAATGCATTACATTCGCGTCAGATGAAACGCTCCTACCTCGGGTGGCTCCATGACCTCAACCTTTGCGCCACAATTCTCTATTGTCTCCTTCAATTTATTCCATTGATTCGTCGCTTTCTTGGTGTCGACAGGATTATTCACCGCCATCCACGGATTAATTGCGTAGAAAACCTGTAACTTCTTCACATCCAATAGAATAAGAAAACTCAACATTTTCCTTTCGACTTACTTTAAAATATGTTGGTCTGCACATTAATATACGACAAGTTGTTTTCTGTAACATCTTCACAGCTGTTAACGAACCCACCACCTTTACACCGACTAGCAATGGAATGAGCTTTCCCAACTATGCATTAAATCAGATAAGAATATTCATCACAGAAATGAGTATAAACACTTTTCACCGGAGAAAACAGATTCGACGGTAAGCTACGTGTAGTTGCCGCATTCTAAAATGAATCCCAATAGAGTGTTCACAGTTGGCGATCGTAGGTGCGATTAGGCGATCAGGCGAGTAGGCGATAAGGGAAGGATACGTATTGATTTGTTGCTCCGCCCATTGAGCGATCGCCTAATCGCCTACTCGCCTACTCGCCTAATCGCCTAATCTATACGTATATTTTTCATTATAGACTAATCGTCTATCGCCTAATCGCCTAATCGCCTAATCGCACGTACGATCGCATACCATGAACACTCCATAAGCAAAGAAAGGACCGCCAGTAAAAAAAGAGAAAGAAACTGCGAAAAAAATCTTATACTGATCGTTTTCGTTTCTGATTCGTGGGCAGTTCATATTGAGGAGTACGTGGGTGTCGCTAAATGACTAGCTCTGACATTCATTCGTTATTTTCTCACGATTTGACACCACCTGGTCATTTGAAATGCTCGCCAAGCGCCCTGGCGATTGCATGCTATGCTGAGAAAGCCTCAGCTTCTAATCAAGCTCAGAAATAAGCCATGACGTTCTCAGAACCTAATCAAAGAGCAAGACGTTATTCTAAAGGTCCAATACGGGAAGATCTGAACTTTCTTAATACCATCTGGGAACGGCCCACTGCAACCAGCACGTCATTGTGTGGATGTTACACCTTTCACGTGACTCTGGTCGGGGTCATATACACGGTACATGCCACAATGGATTCAGTCGACGCCGGGTGTGTCATTTCTAATCAATCCATCGAGGCTACGTGTTGTGGGAGCATTTGAAGGCTTTCGAAAGAAATTTCTTGCAACGACGTGGGAGGAATTGTGTTTTCGAGCGGCCAGAAATTTTGTTTGACATTTATTAGTCGCAGAAAACCTTGCAAATCGAATCTCGAAGCCGATATTCATTCATGGAAAAACGTAATTTTCTACTTTCCAGGGCTGCAATATTCTTTCCGACTCGCTCCTAAAAGTACACTGGAAAAGTTTGGTACGAGTTAATGGATGAGTTCTTAGCGGCGCGAAATTTGTATATTGGAGCAATACTATTCATTCGTTGTGGGACCAACAGTCCCATCCCTCCATTGTCGATCGATGATGGCATTTTGGCGACAGTTGATATATTCCGCTAAATATTGCCATTTTGCTGCGAATTCCTGCTGTTACAGATGTCTTCGAATTCTGTTCTACACTACCGTCTTCACTGCTGCCGTATTCTTCTGATCTACTCTGTTGAACCTTATTACCTTCAAAACCTCTCCATTCTAAGACTTTCTCAAATTCGTCCTTCATTCGGTATTCCTCTGTTTCGTATTTTACTTGTTGCGTTTCTGTTTTTATTTTTATTAGGTTTTTTTTCCCTGAGGAGAAACCAATCAATGATGATCAATGATCAACCACCCTCTACTTACTCATGACCTCTTCTGAACATTCCACTCTTAGGTTGCCGAAAAAGCTTTGCCGTGTTTCTTTTCGAATTGGCTGACCGATAAGCCAT